AGTACTTTCGATGATAGGAATATAAAAGAAATCTATTTTTCGAGCCCAGATCGAGTGGCACGCTGTTACAGAGATGCCCTCTTAAGCAGGCGCAAAACGATTCTAACACTCTCTATGACCAGACAATGTGGCCATTCAAATATTCCCTTCCATCACACGTCGAAGTTTGTAAAACTTTACTGACCTTATTTTTAGTACAGCCTTGTGAACATAGACTGGTTTTCCTTCGATCATGAAAGTCAGGTCACTTGTTTCTTGGTCGTTGAATGCTTCACCTACACACTTGCCTACTGTTCGTGTATCCTCGCGTTCTGTTTGATGCAAAAATTGTGTTTACTAGATATGAAGATAAGTTATTCGTTTAACAGCAATAAATGTAAGCAAAAAACTTCAACATCAAACACTGGACCAGGAAAGGCAGCGATCAAATGAGACAAAAGAACAGCAGCAAAAATGCAATGCCAGCAATAGCAACGGTGCAATAGCACACCTAAATAAAACAAATAAACAAACAAAAACAAAAGTACAATATGCAAACCATTCAAACAACATCTGGGCTGATCTAAGTCAGGGCACGGCTAACTCAAAGATCGAAATTGATATCTGATTTAACGAGTTATACAGTAGAAGAAAACAGAAGAAGAGTTAGCGGACTAAGGTCAAACGTCGAACTTCACATGAGCCGAACCTAATAACATCAGAAGACCGTTTTTTTTTATTCCCTTTTTTCAATTAAGTTCGGCTCATGTGAAGTTCGACGCTTGACATCTGTAAAAAACTCTACTTACAGAGGTGGTTAACAGCAATGGAAAAAGAACAACAGAAACAGCGCGGAGAAATGGAGAAGGTCTGAACAGCTAGCAGAACTGCAGGAGCAACCACTGATAAAATTGTAATTCTCGTTTTTCGCAACAACAGCGAATGCAGCTAGGCAGCCAAAGCAACGATAAGTAAAATCATAAGGATATGTAAGTTAAAAACAACTAAAACATACCAATGACTAAAGGTTTATGCATCAATGGTGGCGAAGAAAAACAAGCAAAGACTTCGTTCATCTTGGTAAAGTTTGTTTCTGTTGGAGTAGTAACCGCTTGACCTCGGCAGTGTCCCCACATGTACAGCTAGAAAAGGAAATAACATATGATTTAGTCTGTGTACGCAATCTAAAATGGGAAAACATTGCACTTGGAAAATGCAAAAGTAACCCCCGTGTTCAAGGAAGGCGAAAGAACAGAACATGACAATTACAGACCTATATCAGTCCTACCATGCATCTCTAAAAGTCAGGAATCATTCATGAATCTAGAGTTACAAGCTTATACAAAGGAAGTCGGATTAGTCCAACAGCACCAGAACTGGATTGGTTAAGAAGTTATCTTTCCGAAAGAAGTCAAATCGTCTCATGCGTAGGTACTAACTCGACTAAGTCTGAAATCTTAACTTAAATCTTAATTGTCGCAAGACCAAAGAAATGCGGCTTATTCACCTATTGGGCACTCTTAGTCCCAACGGGATTAATGAACGCTTTATTTTCAACTAACCTTTTCTTTTGTCTTTTGATTGTT